TAACCCATACTTCTTGCCACTAACAGACGCAGTTTTCACTGGTCAAAATAATTCTATGTGCAGAAGTTCTAATGGCCTAGAGGTGGAAACAACATTTTCAGCTTTAAAAGCAGGTTTTGCAAATTTTCCTTTCTGACATGCTTCACACAGAGCATCTGAGTTGAACTTCAGATTAGGAAGTCCTCTGACCAGATTGAGTTTGTTAATCTGAGATATTCTTCTCATACTAACATGCCCCAATCTTTTGTGCCAGACCCATTGCTTGTTGTTAATAGAAAGAAGGCATTTTACATTATGACTTTTTAGTTCAGAAAGTTTTATCTTATAAATGTTGTTTTTCCTCTTCCCATTAAACAGGATAGTTCCATCTTTCTGACTAACAGCTTTGCATGAATTTTGATTAAAGATTATATCATAACTGTTATCACTTAATTGGCTTATGGATAACAAGTTATGCATCAATCCATCAACTAACAGCACATTATTAATAGAAGGAAGATTACCATTACCTAATGTTCCAGAGCCAATGATCTTCCCTCTTTGGTTGCCTCTAAAGCCCACGTAGCCTCTAGGTTTAAGTTCCAGGCTTTGGAACATATGATTTCTTCCCGTCATGTGTCGAGAGCATCCAGAGTCCAGGTACCATGAATGGTGTTTTAGCCTTGCTGCTAAAGATATCTGCTACATATATAATTTTGTCCTTAGTTACCCATATCTTTTTGGGTCCTGGTTTGTTAGTTTTACCAAAGTTCTGTTTGAATTTTGGTTTGGCAGAATAATCATTGCTAGTGTATTTCAGATCATGTGTGTGCCCATATGTGAAGTGTGATTTTAGTGGTGTGCATTTTATTATTAGGTCCATGACTTTCTTAGTGTCCTATTCCTTTTCTTCCATTCCTGCTAACTCTATAAATCATTAAAGCCATCTTGCTTCTATCTATGTTTTTAGCCAGAAACTTCTAAAAGCTTTGATCATATTCTTTTATGATTTTATCAGCACTACTGGGAGCCTCTGAGATTATTTCTTTCTGAGAGTTTTGTAAGTCAATTTCTAGTTCTGAAATCTTTTCTTTTAGCTCGGAGTTTTCTAATCTAAGACTCACAGTTTCTTCAGAGTCAGAGGCAAGATCCCTTTTCAAGTTCTTGAATTTGACTCTGATGTGTTGATACCTTTCCAAAATATCATTCAGGCTTTCTTCTAGTTCAGCTTTAGTGAAACTAACAGTAAAATCAGGAAATACCTCTTTTGTGTCTGATTCTGAGTCTGACTGAGATGCTTCGCTGTCTTCTGTCACATTAGCCATAAGAGAAATGTTGGCTCTTTCATCATCTATTTTTGAGTTTGCGTGAGAAGTATCTGAATCATCCCATGTTGCCATGAGACTCTTCTTATTCTCCTTGAAGAACTTCTTTTTGGGCTTCTCCTTCTGAAGCCTTGGACAATCACTTTTGTAGTGCCCCTGTTCATTTCACTCATAGCAGATGATGTCTCTGTTGTTTGACTTTCTGCGACCAGACGAAGGTTCAGATCTTCTGTATCCAGAGGAGGACTCAGATTTTCTGTATCTAGAGGAGGATTCATTCTGATTTCTTGACCTTCTGGAATTTCTGAATTTTCTTTGCCTCTGCTTCCACAGCTGATTGACCCTTCTGGAGAGAAGAGACAATTTGTCTTCTTCTGATGAGGATCCATCAGAGGTTTCTTCCATATCGTGCAAAACCTTAGAATCAAGTTTTTTGTTATATTTTAATGCTAAAGGCTTACCTTGCTTCTGAGGCTCGTCATCTTCTAGCTCTATCTCATGGCTTATGAGGGAGCTAACGAGTTCCTCCAGAGAAATCTTGTTGAGATCTTTAGCCAGCTTAAGAGCAGTGACCATTGGCCTCCATTGCTTTGGTAGACTTCTGATGATCTTCTTTACGTGATCAGCAGTAGAATACCCTTTGTCAAGAACTCTTAGCCCAGTAACAAGAATCTGGAATCTTGAGAACATCGCTTCTATGGATTCATTGTCTTCCATCTTGAAAGCTTCGTATTTCTGAATGAGCGCAAGGGCCTTGGTTTGTTTCACTTATATGCTGCCTTCATGCGTCATTCTCAGAGAGTCAAACATGTTTTTGGCTGTCCCTCTGTTTGAGATCTTCTCATATTCTGAGTATGAGATGGCACTGAGAAGTATTATTCTGGCTTTATGATGGTTTCTGAAATCACGCTTTTGCTGGTCAGACATTATTTTTCTATCTATCTTCTGACCACTTTAATCCACTGGATGTGTGTATCCATCAATTACCATGTCCCATAGATCAGCATCATGATCCAGAAAGAAGCTCTCAATTCTGTCTTTCCAGTAGTCAAAATTTTCTCCATCAAAGACTGGAGGTTTACCGTTGATTCTGTCCTTGTCATCATGATAGTCATTGCTGATGTTTTGGCTTGGTCCCACTATAGTGTTTTTCTAAAGCTTGGATCTTGTACTGACACTGTTAAGTGTATTAACTCAGAACCAGGCGCTCTGATGCCAATTGAAGAAGTGAAAAACACAAGAAGGGGGTTGAATTAAAACTTACAAACAAATTCAATAGACTCAAGATTTTTATCCTGGTTCACTTGATCTCAAACTACTCCAGTCCACCCGCCAAGGTGATTTCGCCTCTCTCCAACGAGGACTTAATCCACTAATCAAACAGATTACAAAACTACTTTAACAACTGCCAAAGTCTTCTTGAGTATGACCACAACTCGGTTTATCTCAAGGAAAAATATCTTAATCAAAGAACAATTAACTGTTTACTATTTTTTTTCGTTACAAAAACTGTATCACTACTGTGATGTATTACACAATTTGAGTATATGAGAGAATATGAATGTTTGCAGCTTTTTGAGATGTATATGCATTCGTTAGAGAAAAACCGTAAACCATTTACCCTTTGAGCTTGTTTATATAGGCGTGGAAATATGTCCAAAATAAAACGTGATAATGGATACTCAATGCAGTTTCCATACTGAGAAGATTCTTGTCCGAATGAAGCAGTTGCATATGATATTGTCTTAATTGAAAAGTAACGCCTTGGAACTTGGGAATCTTGCATGCTGCTTTACTTCAGAACATTGATAACTTAGAGATATGAGGATTTGTTGGCGTGTTAGACTTCTTTTCAGAATCAGAGTATCTTTTACTTCAGCGTAGATTATGAGCATCATTCTTCAGAACATTCTGATTTGCTCAGCTTGAAAGCTTCTGTGGCTGAACTTCTGATGTAGTTTCAGTCATAACTTCTGTATAAAATACGACACAAATTTAGAGTGCATATTTGTTCTTTGTGTTTGTTATCATCAAAACTCTAATAAGGGTTGTAGAATCAAACTATGTTCTAACACTCTTCTCCTCTCTATGTATTTCTATTTTGTTGGATTATGTATGTATTTTTACTTTGAACTCATGTATATTTGTTTCCCATGCCGTTGTATAAAAATTGCTTTACAAATCTTTGTCGATTATTATCCTTGATTTTGACTGTGCTAGGGATTTGAGTTATTATAAACATATATTGCTCGGATTCTTATCTAGGATGATTATCTGTTAGTTTCTGGATTCTAGAGATAGATTTAGAGCTGACATTCACTTGGGTGTCTGTGATTAATGCCTATGTCATGGTTGGGTCACTCTGAGAGATCGTCGACACGATTAGCGCAGTTGACTTATGTGTTGTTGAGGTGGTTGAGAGATTGCTACCAAGGTGATACAGTCTGCCTCTCAATTTGTGTTAGAAATGACTTAGGTTGTGAGTGATACGTGATGACATTGATGAATATTATAGTTGAGTATAATTGGTCAATGGGTTTAAGTTTGTGATGAGTAGAGTACATTAGATCCGGATAAGTTTGTCTTTCCTTTTTATACATTTATTTTTTGTTGACACATTTTACCTTTCCTTTCAACCCTTTTATACCCCAAACTCATTAGCGAGAAATTATCGAACGATAATTTAGTAGCACTAATCTCTGTGGAAACGATACGATATAACATAAATATCACCCGATAAAAATAATACTTTACTTTTTGCTTGCCGCTTTACCGCTTCAGCAATTACAATGAGAATAAAAAGAGAGGAAATCAAATCTCTCGCGGTGTCAAACACGATCCACCAATTTCCCGACCCCGAATCATCCATTAACAAGCCACAAATGTTGTTTTCTAATCTCTCCAAACAAAAAAATGAAGTTGATGGTGTTGGGACTCAAAAATAACCAACCCATAACATAAAAATGTGTTTTTTCCCTATTTAATGAGTTTTGAAGTCACAAGGCGTGCTAAGCACACTAAAACTGTTGTGTTGAAAAAATTCAGCACTTGTTTTTGTCCTAATTTGAAAACGGTAACTCCGATTTACGCATGATCAGAAGCGTTGGAAATCTTATTCAATGCTCTATATTGAAATGCATAAATATAAACCAAATTGATGATTTTTCTCATCCTTGTTTTGAGCCTTATTCTTTGATGAATTGCTAAAAAATGCATTCTTGAAGCTTAGCCTTTGGCCTTTATTACTCAATGCTCCAATTATGAATGAATACCTACAAAAGAGATGAAAAACTATCAAATGATATAATATTTACACAAAAACTCAATTATTCTATTATGTACATAAACTAAACGTATTTACGAACAAAGTTGATATTATTCAAACAATATTAACAAAAAGTATTGATAAGTGCAACAAAACTTATACACAAAAATAGATACAATTTGCACTTATCAATTTCCCATTGAAGAAATTCCCGAGCTTCCTACCAAGCAAAAACCACCTCTTCCTTGAGACCTCTCAAGGCACTAGCTCGGTCATCCTTCCTCTACTGAAGAACTTTTTGATCCACTTCAAATGCCGACATGCTTCAGTCGTATCTTTAAAAACCCTCTTACAGTGTTTATGTCCATCAGCAAGGGAAGCCTTCAACTTCTCTATTTGAGTTGCCAAAGTGGACGGTCGATCATATCGATCTATGTCTTCTTGCAAAGAGTAATAACATCAGGATTATTTCGGAGCTCAACCAATTCCTTCTTAGCATCAAAATTCTTTCGCTCAAGGGTTTCACACCTCTCCCTTATCTCATCTCTCTCCCTTGAAAGATTGTTTGAGCCTAGAACATCATCATGCCAAGTAACTACAATAGAAACAAGGGATCCAGCCATGAACAAAGTATGGGAAGCATCTCGAAAAAGGCTCCACATATCAGTTGCAGACAAGCCCCAGAAGAAATCTGGGTCTTTAGAAGCCCCGACAACAGTAAATTATTCTGGAGTGCTAGGTACCCGGGATGGAAGAATAGCAGTAAGCCGGAAGAAAGGAGTAATAAACTCCTGCTCACCAGCCTATAATAAGCGAGCCCGTTTGGAAGAACCTTATTCAACAATAGTAGACGGACTATCACCTTGGTCCCTCTTGGTGGGGGAAAGAGAATGTGAAAGCTCCCAAGCAAAAAAATTAACCGTCGTGGTAGCCGACTGATTCACCTCAAGAGTCTTGACCAGGATATTAGTCTCAACTATTGTCGGGGAAACCACCACAACAAACATCTGAGCCTCTGGAGCAAAAGTAGAAGAAACAATAGGTGGCACCGACACCCTAACAGACATGTCAATTGTAAGGCTATGATCATTTGCAAGCGCTGGAGATTTCCGCAATTGACCCAACTGGTTCATATTATCTACAAGCCATAAGTTGCATTATTAAAAAAGGGTGCCTGGATCCTCATCCTTATTAAAGAATTTTCGTCTCTCAGAATGATCAAACGCACTAATTATCACTTAAGTATTTATTTTCCTTTTCTTTTGTTGAAAAGATAATACTTCACAAGGATCAAATTCATTCATATATGATTGTCTGGTACCACGTTGTTGTAACTGGATTTAAAATTAAGAGTCGCCACTACTAGTTTTTATCCTAAGGAAGAGCATCTAATAGGAAACCCTAATTCGCAAGACATAGATTCTAAGTTTCAGACTTCTTTAGATGAAAGGAAGGTGTTAGGCACCTTTCATCTACCTTATTCTTAAGGATACTAGGTTTAGGTTTTAGGTGAAACATGGTTTTAATTTTTTAATATGGGAACTCGCCACAATTTTAGTCGTATGCCTACGTATCCTCTTATGAGGAATCAGAGTCCCAATTCGTAGTTCGTATGTGTTTGTGTTTTTTAGGGGGTTGCAAAAGTATTTTGAATTGCCTCGCATTTGACCGGGTGTAGAGATAGCAGAATTTTGGACTAAATGCGCGATTAGTCAAAATATATTTGGAACCCTTTTGCAAAAATAGTTGTTTTAGATTAGTTTATTGCGAAAAAGAATTTGATATTTTTTGTATATTTTTTATCATATTAATTATGAAATATTCTTAATTAATGCATGATATAAAATGTTTTAATGCAAATGTATAAAAAATATGTACATGAGTTTTAAAAAAAAACATAATTATTTAAATGCTACTATAATAATATATGCATGAATTTTAAAAACATAAATATTTAAATGATAATATAAATAAATATGCATGAATTTTTAAATACCATAGATATTTAAATGATAATGAAAATAAAATTTAATATTGATAATGATGATTAATTAAAAGAAATATAAGAACAAAATAATATATATACTATAAAAGTATATTAATTAATTTAGGGGGTGCGTTTTATGTTGAATAGTAAAGGAGAAGGGGTGCAGAAAGTCAGGGCCTGAATTCAGATATTGAATTCAGGTCCAGTAAGCCTGGGGTGTTTTATTGTAACTGATAAGTAAAAAAGGGGTTTAATGAAGGATGGGCCCAAGTTCAGATATTGAATTGGGCCCAACGGTTGAGGGGGTGTATTGTTGGCTGTGGTTGAGCAATTGTAACGAAAGGGGGTATGGAAACGAATGGGATTGGCCCAAACACATTTTTTTGGGAGGCCTGGCTATTCGCATGCATGAGGCCGCATGGGTTTTGTGATACGGTGGGAGAACTGACTGTGAGTTTTGCGTTTGTTTTCGCAAATGTTTCGGTTGAGCAAGAGTCGCCACCAACTTTTTATTTTATCCTAAGGAAAGGTTAAAAAGCACAGCAAAAACCTTTGAGATGTTTTCTTGGGTTCGGGGAGTAGATTATAGAAAGGGAAGGTATTAGCACCCTTTCTATCCATGGTTATCCATGGGCTCTTAGTTACTTGCTTAGATCAACTTGCCTTTTGTTTTCAATTATTTGAAATGGTGCTCTTGTGTGTGTGGGTTTGAAAATGTTTTGAAAAGAAGCCAATGTGGTGGCAACCTTTGTAATGATCCATGTTGGGATGTATACAAAGGTGTATGTCTTTTGAAAAGGTTTTCATTTGTTTTTGAAAGTTGTTTTGAAAGTGTTGTGAGGTGTGGTTTTAGAAAATAGGCAAGTGTTTTGTTTTGCAAGTTTGATTCAAGTAACTAAGAGGTTATCTACTCCTAAATTTCTCAAAGATTATTGCTATGTTTTAACCCTTTTAACAAGTTTGTTCCACCATTGTATTTGGTGGACAATCTTGTGTTAGGATGTGAAAGGGACGGGCGCGGGTCATCGTTTAGACCATAATTGCAATGGTGCCAAGTATCTTTGGGCAATTTTCTTTAAGGGACTTGATCATTTTTTAGGCAACTTTCAAAAGTGTCATCGAGGGACTATGATCATTTGATTTGTGTTTGTTTTGCCCAAAGAGACCTAACATGCAATATGGCCCATTTATTGAAGGCAACAAGTGGAATACCCTAGGGGTGCAAGTGTGATAAGTGTTGTCCATTTTCATGCTCGTTTATCTTGAAATTAGGTCAAACTATTTTTGTCGTTTTTGATTCACATACAAACCCTAATTCTAACATGGTATAATTAGAAAGTAATAAAGTGCGAAAAATAAATTTACTAAGCTATTACAACACAATATATGGGAAGGGGGGTACAAATGTTCAAATGGGGATTTTTTGACAAGGAATTTAAACCTAAACTATTACATCAATTTGGAATTATTTACAGGATAATTGATTGCACAAATTAAATGGAAATAAAATAAATATGCAAGATGCAAAAAGGTTTTTTATATGTATGAAAAAAGTATTTTTTATATGTCAAATAAACAAAAATAAAAAGTATTAATTTTTTGGAGTTTTTTTATGTTTAGGGCAAAACCCTAATTTTATTAAATGAAATGTATTAATTATTTAATATATACAATATTTATTTATTATATGCAAAAATAAAATAAAAATGAAGTATATTTGTCAAAAAGGTATTTTTTATATTAAATATTAATAAAAAATAAAAATGTGTATATTTTGTATTTTAACCTAAATATACTAATATATATATAACTATTTGTATTATTTTCTAAATATGTATTATATATACAAAATAATAATATTTAATATTTATAAAAAAAAGTATATTTTATATAAAATATTTTCAGAAGATAAAACAAAATAAAAAATGAAAATAAATGTGTTTGCACTATTTTTAGTATTTTTTTAAATAAAAGCAAGTTTATATATTTATTTATGCACAAAACTAAAAGAAACCAAATAAATGCCTAATAAATTCAAAAATGGTGAGAAAAATATTTTTAATATTTTTAATATCATAAGAAAAAATAAATAAGTCAAACCAAAAAAGAAAAAGTCAAAAAGTCATAAAAATAAGCAAAATGGACCTAGGGGGTGTGAAAGTGAAAAAATGGTGCAAAAAGAAAAGTCAAACAGGCCCAGCCCAGAACCATGTCATCTTCAACCTCAGAACATGTTTGTTCAAGAAAACACGCGTTTTCTAACTTCCAATTCCTTGATCTTTTGCCAAATCTTCCAACATGAAACCTGTAGAGCTTGAAGCCACGATTCCAGACATATAAAGAAATCAATCTAACTCTTAGAAATGAGAGAGAATTTCTTCTCTCCCAATTCCTGACCTAGATTTTTATCAATGTTCAGACTTAAAATTCTCTAAGCATACATAATATAAATGAAATCTAACTACATGGGCATGTTCAGGGCTATGAATGTGACATGTTTTCTTCACAAACCTAAAGCTAACAATGCCTGGATAGAGAGATTCGTGTTCATGAACTTACCTGTTCAGTTGAAATTTTATCTTGTGATTGAGGTATCTTCAGTGCAAGGTGATGATTGGTACAGCTTCCTTGATGTCCAGGGATGCTATTCCAAGCTTTACTTTATCTTGAAACCTTTTGAATCGTGCTATAGAACTTCAACTGCAAAATAAGAAAATGAAAATGGTGATGTTGCATGGGAGTGCTACAGGTCGTGTTTGAGGTTTTGATTAGCTTATATGGACATTATGGAATGTGTTTGATGTGTTTTTAGCAAGAAAGCATGGAAGGTTTGAGCTATGGAACTCAAACTGCAGGGATGCCCTGTTTTGAGCAGTTTTAGGGTGATTCTGGGAATGAGGAGGTATTGGAGATGTTAGGGTCGTGTTCTAGCTCAGAATGGATGTCTTGAATGTGTTTGATAACTTTCTCTAAGCCTTGGTTAACTGATATGAGAGTTGGTCTATGTTATGCAATGTTTCTTCACACTTAAGCAAGAAAAGGCAACTTAGTGTTTCTAGCCTGTACAGGCCCCCATACTATGCTGCTAACCTTCCCCTTGATCAGTGCAATTAGTCCATAAACTTGTGCCAAATAGATTTGATCTGTACTTGCTTGGATTTGCTTTAGACATAAAGTGCAACTTTTCAAGAATGGCTATTTTACTTTTTCCAATTATGGCTTAGTTCTCCATGTAATGACCAAATGCATAGAACAACATCTTGGCACAATGGTTTAGCATTGAATTATTGAGTGAAAATGGGATTAGAGGCCTGCAATGTAGCTAGCATATGCTGAGTTTGAAAATGCACAAGTTATTGACATGTAATTTGGCCAAGAACAAAGTGAGTTTTTCCCATATTGCAAAATTCGATTCTCCCTAACCATGAGGTTGTTTGATGAGTTCTTGGACATTTTGGAAAGCTTGGAATTTGTACTACAATCCATCTTTGAAATGCAAATTAAAATTCCAAGTGGAAGTGTATGAAAAATGGTCTTGAAGTTAGGTAAAAAACTTGCCTAAAATAGGTCAAATTTTCTCTAAGTTAAGAATGGTTTGGTACCCTTGTTCCAAAAATTGTAACTTGAGATACAAGCCTCTTTTGGGAAAACTTTGTGAATCAAAGTTGTAGATTATGCAATAGGCTATAACTTTCATGTTTTGACTTTTGCTTGAATCCAAATGAATCTTGGTGAGAAAGTGGGGCAAAGTTAGGAAAAAATTAGGGTTTTTCATAACTTAGAAAAACTCTAAGTTATGAAAAATCTTCATTTCAAACCCTAATTTGCATTTCTTGATTTCTTGATGAACAAGTTTCATGATTTGGCATGTTTTGATGAAAAATGAATCTTGACCCTTGATTTTGATCAAAAAGTCAAAGTTTGACTTTTCAGTATACAGTCAAAATTGATCAATTGACTGGGAAATTCAACTGTCAATCTTGTGTATTTGGGATCTTTTGAACTTGTTGAACATGTCAAGATAATTCCATTGGGTCCTTGAGTCCATATGTGAGCTTGGTTTGCCATTGGCTAGGTCAAACAGTCAAAAATTGCCTTTGTGCAGTCAAAACCCTAAAAATGACCATTTTGCCCTTTTGGTGATCT